CCGGGGGAAGGTGACAGGGACTGAGAGGGGGTGGAGGAGGAGATGGACTGGGAGGGGGTGTAGGGGGCCGGGGAAGGTAACAGGGACTGAGGCGGGGTGGAGGAGGAGACAGGGACTGGGAGGGGGTGACAGGGAGGTGGTGTAGGGGGTTAGAGGAGGTGACAGAGATAGGGAGGGGACTGGTGTGTGTGTGCATGCATCTGTCTATCGATGCTGACTGCACTAACCTTGTTCTCCCACTCCGCAGCAGTGTTCCCGGAGAGCGTTCCGACCGTGTTTCCCGGCGAGGACCCCCCGCCGTACTCCCCCCTGACAAGCCCCGAGAGCGGGGGAAGTCCCGTTATTAATTGCCGTGTCTGCCAGTCTCTGATCAACGTGGAGGGCAAGATGCACCAACATGTGGTGAAGTGTGGTGTCTGCAACGAGGCAACGGTGAGGGGGCGGCGGGATGTGAAGTTGGTGGGTTGCGGGGGGTGTTGCTGGCAGAAAGACTGGAGGGTGGGGAGTGGCGAACTGGGCTGGGGGAAGGTCCAAAACACCCCTGAAGGAGGGTCAGCGCTGATTGATTTGATGGCAGCAGTCATTGCGAGCGATCTGACTGATCGGGTGTCCATCATCATTTCCAGAGAAATTAACAGCATTTCTCTCCTGATCTCTCTCCCCACGCCCTCCCGCACTCCCGCAACTATCTTTGTGTCCCCGTCTCTCTCTTTCTCTCTCTCTCTTCCCCCCTCTATCTCTGCTTTTCTGTCTTTCCCTTGCGCTCATTCTCCCTGCCCCTCTCCTGCTTTCTCTGTCTCTCTCCGCACCCTCTCCCACACTCACTCTCGCTGTCCCCTCTGTCTCTCTCGCTCGCTGCCGCCCTCTCTCCCGCTCGCTGTCGCCCTTCTCTCCCTGTCTCTCGCTGTCCCCTTCTCTCCCTGTCTCTCTCTCACTCTGCCTCCCCGTCTCTATGCCCTCCCCACTAACCCAACTCGCTGCAGCCCATTAAGAACGCTCCATTCGGGAAGAAATATGTGCGGTGTCCGTGCAATTGCCTCCTAATCTGTAAAGTCACTTCTCAGAGAATTGCCTGTCCACGACCATACTGGTAAGACGCACCATAATTTACTCCATTTCTACATCCCAACTCAGTGTACAGATATCTCCCTGAGAGAGGGAGGACAGAGAGACACCAGTCAGTGTACAGATATCTCCCTGAGAGAGAGAGAGAGGGGACTGAGAGACACCAGTCAGTGTACAGATATCTCCCTGAGAGAGA